ATTTTACCTTATTTTCTCACCCACACTCAAGAATTGACTTGTTTTAAATCTCACCCTATTTGTTATCCCAAGTCACCAAATTGTCGATTGGCTTGATCACGTGGTCAGACAACACTGACATTTTACTTACCATTTCAATACAACAAACGACCAAATAATGGTCTTGGAGATTGAATCCTACCCATCTCCTCATCCCACAAATTAGGGAAGCAATCGGAGAATTATAAAATATCACTGATTATTTCACCATCAACAAAGGATCGGTTTCACCTACCGGCACTTCTTAGAGCATTAGGGGCAAAATGAGAGTGACGACGTCTGCCAACAAAAACAACAACTCACAATCCTCAAATAACAATATTTGGTGGTCAGTTCCCTGGAGCTCAAACACAAATGTGACCATACCGCAGATTCGCAACCCAACTCCAGACACACAGTGGCTATACAAAACTTTCTCTCACAAGACGCCAAAAAAGATCTTCAATGGACAAGACAATTGTTCTCTGAAAAAACTAACAAAGCCAACACTCTTTTGGCTCAAAGACTGCGCCAAAGGATACATAATAAACATATTACCAAAATGATGGCACCGGATGGTCAGGTTCATGATATCCCACATAAAATTGCCTCTGTTTTCCACAACACCCCTATGACCACTGAAAACACTAAACCTAACAAATACCTAGGCACGGATGGGTTCTTGGGCCTATACTTCAGGAGGTATTCTGCCATATTACTTCCACACAAGTAGCCTTTTTAACTCCATTCTAAAGGGGGGCCTGTTCCCTCCAGAAGATCCAGAAGGAGATGAGAATTATGAGCATTAAAATCCACAATGAGGAATATAATCTCAAATTCCAAATCCTAATTTCACAACTTTATTCATTTAATTCAATTTTGTTCCAGCAGTAACTAAGATTTGCCACTGGTGGCCTCCCTAACCATTAGGACTGAACTTTATTTCACTCTACCTCACCTGCCTGGGCTGATTACTTCTCGTACAAAAGGCCACACCCAGCTCAATACGGGGCCTTTACATTGAAGTTGATGGTCTACCTGAAAGACTTCTGATCCTGGCTACTATATACCAACCTAATCTACATTACCAACCTGCTTTGTTACCAATTTACTTCATATTAACAACCTGCTTTATACCAACCTGATCTACATTACCAACCTGCTTTGTTACCAACATGCTTTATGTTACCAAGCTTCTTAATCCCAACCTAATCTACACAACCAACCTGCTTTGTTACTAACTGTGAGAAAAGCACCTTCATCACTGGTGTTTGGAGAAACTTCTTTCCAGCCTCTTACCCAAGGACTATGGCCCATATGTTAACATGGGTCTTAGGGCTATGGAAAGGCTTGTTCATGCCTTTCCCCTGCTATGGTTCGGTATTTGGGGTTGCCGAACAAACTGTCGAACAGCCGGACCACCAGCCAGTGGAGTGTGTCCCTCATTTACCTCCAAGGAGCTGTGGTTAACCGCAGCTAATTGATGAACGGCTGGGTGGTCGCCGTTCATACGGTCGTACACGTGGCGGCAGGCCATCTTGTTTAGTGGAAACCGTTCAGCGGTGTTTGATTGTCGAGTTCATGGAACTCAAATAGGACATGCAACGGCACGAACATCGCTGACCTTTACCTTCTCCAGAACTTTGACACTTCGACAGGAATCGAACAGTGTTCGACAAATTTGAACGCCACTTTGACTTTGGCTATTTGCATAAACGGCCCTGTTCGTGCATTCGAACGGAACTTAACTATTGGAAATAGACTGGCTGCACAGCCAAAAGCTGTGGAACTATTTTGGGCAGGAAAGCCATGCTTGCAGTTGTACTGGAATCATGGATGGAAGATACCTTGACCCCAGGCTCAAGCTTTTAAGATGACCAGATGTCCAGTCTTTACTTCTTGTGTTCTGCTTTTAATCTTTAGTCTAGTTTCGAGTGTCTGACAAATAAGCAGAAATAAGCATAAAATCATGACTTGTGACATTCTATGGTTTCTGAGGAGAGGATTGCAGCTTCCCCCATTAACCCCCCTCTGATGTCCTAATGTTTTTATATATATATATATATATAAATAACCATTGAAATATGCTTAGTACTTTAATTTCCCTTTTATGGTAGTGTGACTTCACCCATCTGGTTTTTGGCACGCAAATCACAAAGTTGTCTTTACAAAGTACTATATAATCTGTAAGCTTACACAATAAAATAAGGAAGTAATCTTTGAATCAAAAACTGTCTGGTCTGATTACTTTCTCTGACCAGCTCATAATTTAAAGTGTCAATTTGGTTTCCACCTGAACATGTCTCCGGGTAAATGAATATCCTTAACAATTGGTGCCGAAACCCAGGAGGAAACAATCCATTACATCCAGACAAAATACTGGGAAACCGAGGGTTGTAGACAGTGACTCTTAAGCTGCAGCAGTAAGAAAAATGTTTTCTACCTATCTAGATTCACTCTCTATTGAACTCTCTGTGTCCTAAGTCTGGGTGAGTATGGATTTAAATAGGTATCCTTCTAAAGAACTTGTTTTCTGTGGTTGGTTATGTTCAGGTGGAATGTCTTGTGAAAGAAATCTTGGAATCTTGAGATAATAGAATATATCTGTGGGTCTTAACTTTGTTTGCCTTGTCATTTGCTTTATCGTTTTATAGTTAGAGTAAGAATCCTCCAAGTCAGATCTTTGATCTGTGTTTATATAAAGAAGACAAAGACTGTGAAAATTCCACTGCAGTGGTCCTAAGTGTTTAAACACTGTTTGTATAGTCTTGTCTTGGTTAAGGAAGGGTAACTCATACTGTTTGTATAGTCTTGTCTTGGTTAAGAGAAGGGTAACTCATAAAAATGACCCAGGAGGAGGAGTTTACAGCTCTAACTATCGTTAATCATCTTAAAGGAAGGCAATAAAGAAATTACTCAAGAAAGCTGGCATGCCCTCAGATATGGAAGGAATTTATGAAGTCTGCCATGTTCTCCCTATCACTCTCAGTAGGCGAGCAGTCTACTGAAGTCTCTGGTATGGTAAAGGAGAGGACTCTGGTGGAGGAGGGAGTGTATAGGGAATAATAGTTTTGTGTTATGTGTGGGTGGTGTTCTATATATGTTTCCCCATAAGGGATTTTTTTTTGGTATTTAAGGATGCAGCCCTCTAATTCCATTTATCATTATATCTCTAACTATTTCTCCAGTCTCCTTTTTCATAAAGTATGAGTTTGTTTTTCTGTTTATATTGTTATGTATTATTTCACATGGGATCTAAATGCCTGGTATGATTGTTATGTCTATACTATAAGCCCACTACACTTTCCATGAGAGTGGGATATTGGGATTGTGTTGCATTGTCTGAATGATGAGCCTAGTATTTTCAAACTGGGACAAATTCACTTCATTACTATTTGAAAGTTAAGTCCCCATACGGGATTAACTGTGTAAAACATCAAGCACCACATTTTCCCTCCCTGGGTGTTTCTTGCAGAGGATCCATACTGTAAATATATTTGTTTGTAAATTAGAGAGCCACATCTACTTTTTCAGCGGTCCAACACATGCTTCATTTTGTGCTGTAAGCTAACTTTTCCTTGCTACAGGTACTTTAAAGGATGCAGAGCATCACTTGCTGAATATGCTTTATGATTCTCTGTAGATTAATCTTCGAGGAAAAAGCTCCCTATTATGACTATGTCTAACATTATATGTGTTCTTTAAAATTGTGAAAATCTACAAATTGTTGTACGGGGATGCTGAGATTTTAGTCTTGTGACCACAAACCTATGTGTTGGGTTTGAGTTTTGGTCAGGTATGCAGACTTGATTAGAATATCATGGACAAAAGTTGATTATACGTTACTCTGTGGCTCTTAAACACTCAACTGGATCAATCCAAAAAGGTTTGCCATGCCTAACATGGTCTAGCATAATAATGTTGAGTCTCAGAGTTCTGAGAGATTCAGGTGACACCATGTCTGTGTAATCTGGTCCAAATATTTGCTCAATTTCTCTAAGATTTATGATAATGTAGCATCATCTCAGAGAGAAATTTTATTGAGAGAGTACAGATCTTGCAATAAGTTAATGCAAGTTTCACACGAATATGTAAGACTAGAGCGCTATATAAAGGGATCCCTTCTTTATAAACAATACTATGGTAGATTAAGTAATATGGTATTTAAGGAAATACATGTATACAATAACCCTAGAATAAATCTGATACAAATTAAAATTGGTATACCTTACAAAAATATGTTCTTATTACAGATGTTATGAGTTTATTCTGTGCAATTGGTGCCTGTGTTAATATGTGTTTTGAATACCCATTATGAAGTGTGCAGGTTAACTAGCATGTAGATTAAATTGGTATTTTACTGTGTTGTTTTAAAACATATTTGAATCAGTTTGTCCCAGTCTATTGATACAGATGGAAATGCCAGCCTAATAACCTATTAAATAACTGTTTTGGTGGCTGTTGAATGCTGCATTATTGCTTCTGTCCAAGAGCAGTGGGAGTTTGAGTAGTTCTAACAGTTCTAATTTTGTGGTCTGTTCTACAGTGTTAGTCTAATGTATTGCTGTTTTATTCAACTTTCCTGTTCATTTGCCAAGTCTTGCGATCTATCCTCTTCTGGGTCTGCAAAAACAAATTATGAAAATATCTTCAGTGCTGGTTGTCTGCTTCTGTAGTAGTCAAACAGTTTGCAGAGATTTTCATTGTTTTTGTAAAAAAAGGCTTTTTATACATAGGTATGAGAATGGTGTTGCATATTTAATTGGAAGTGTTAGTTTAAGACTACAGTTGTAATCTATCACTAGCATAGGAACTACATTGTGTCAAACTGTGTTTATTCTAAGAGAAACAGAGTGTGAAATTTGTTAATTTATTTTGGAATGGTTATGGTTTAGTTGCGTGCCCATATTTGCTGGGTATCTATTACGTGTATTTACTACGTCTGGTCCTTCGGACCTGTGTTTTGTTTTGTCACATGACAACAGGTTTGATATTACAATGATTGCTGAGTTTGAGTTCTATGGGTTTTAATGAATTGGTGTGTTCTGTGGTCCTTCCTTGTTAATGTCTATTGTTTCTGAGTTTAAATAGTAAAGTTAAGAATATTTGCATGTCATTAACGAAAGCATTTAGTGTATTTACGACAGGTAAAATGCTATAAAGCCGGCAAGAATAAATTCACTGCATGCTATCACTCCTGGACATTATTTGATAATAATATGAGTCTTTGAGAAAATCACTTGTTACATTTCACGTAAAAGGGGCCCCACAAACTTCTGCTATTCAAATCGTGGATCCACGTTTCCTTTTGCAAACTGACTAATCCTGAATGTGATTCTTTCACTGAGAAAAAGTATACATGGACAAGAAGAAGACTCTCCCTTATAAAGGAGTACTCCCGCTACCTCTCACAGGGGAGTATTGTCCAGCTATTTTCCAGCTCAGAGTTAACTTTACTTTTAAAGTGTATTGCATTATTTGTGTCAAAGAAAATTATGTTATCCATATTGATTGTTCTGCCTTTTTAACTGGGTAGAAACACCAATCTGTGGGGGTATGTAGAGGATGGGTTTATTACATTTTATTTAAGATTCATCTAGTATGCCTCATTGATCATAGGGTAATGATGAAATTTTATTTTTAATAGAGATCAGACCATTTCTGACATTTGTAAGTGAGGCAATTCTAATCTAAACTACTGTATTATATTTGTATTGGTAAATTGAAAGCATTTTGCAAACCCAGAAGAGGATAAGTAAGATATTAATCAAGGGGTTATTTTCAAATGGTTTTTTTATATAAACATATAAAATTTAGCTTTTGTGGTTAGAGATTTTTGATACTCAGTTTAAGCTATGTCCAACCACATCTCATCCTAGCATTATTCATTATAGGGAACAAAAACCATCCAAAATCCAAGTTAGGATTTTATAGTAAGATATTAATTTTCAAGTAATGTTTGAATTAGATGGTTCATGGTTTTAATATTTTATATATAGTTTTGGATATTAATACAAGAGTATTGAATTATTTGGGGTTATTAAAGTAATTAATTGAGATTATCAAATCAAGGTTTAAGTTTAAGAACAGAGTTTTATTGGGAATTTTTTCCATATGTGTATGTCAAGAATATGTATATAGATTTTATCAGTCACTTGCTTGAGACGTGTACAAGGGCATTCCAAAGGGAATTATGTAAAATTTAATAGAATACAAATTTCATAAAAATAAGCAAAGCTGAGAGAAGTACATGTTACACCAGTTAAGGATTTAATTTTAGTCCCTTATTTGACTTTTAGCCTAGATAATTGCTAAATTGATAATAATAGATATATCCTTTTAGGAATTGTTCATGTCGTATTGATCCTTGTGTTTGTATACTTGTAGAGACCGTCCTGGAGTGTTTGTGCTACCTGATTCTTGGGATTGCGCACCAATCTCTCTCTTTGGCTGACTTTGCACTACTTATTTGCAATTACACCTGTTTGGTCAAAATCCATGAAGGCCGAAGAAACTGTGATGCTTACTTATGAGGACATAACCTTTGTGTGCAAGACCCTGGAAAGTCCTGAAGGTGCAGTGCTGTCTAATGCCCCTGGTTCTGTATTAACCCTTTCAACAATTGGAGTGTTGCACAGAGCATTGTGGTGAACATGCAGCTAACAAAAGAAGAACTAAGAACTATGTGGAACCTGACATTGTCTTGTTGTCAGCCATTTTGCTACCCTTTGCTATTATATGGAACAAAATGTATGGTGTCCGAACTGATTTATTTATACTCCTTGAAGGACTTCTATTTTTTATGAACTATATTGAACTATTTTGTTATTTATATTTTTTGTAGAGTTAGCCAGAGAGGGATGGAGTGTTAGCTGGCCCAGGGAGGGATGTAGTATGTGTTGTTGATGTATGTTGAGTGTGCAAAGGATGGATTCCCATGTTGTGAGGAATTGGATGTGGATATGACTTGGTTTGACTGGACCTTTGGAATAGGGAAATGGTTAGGAGATATTGGACGAATGGTCCGGGTTGCAATTAATGTAATAATTGTGAGTTTGATGATAATATTATTTGGGGTTATTAAAGTAATTAATTGAGATTATCAATTATATGATGATAATATGCAAATGGGCTTTTCCCATCATTATCAAGAAGTGTTTCCCATCTCCTCCCAATACCCAAGCTATGTATTCACCGGTGCGGCTATTAGAAGTCACAGGTGGTGTCAACGTGAGGGATGACATGTCTATACTGTTGTGGCCCCCATTCAGGGTTTCCCCAGATGTGCTTTTTTTCTCAAATATGAGTTTTTGTCACATTATTCCCACTTTGACTATAGGCATTCACCATGTGGAAAAAAAAGGTCGGTAAGTGTTGGGAATAATACACTTTGCCTATACTGACCCAAGGCTCCTGCTACAGATGACTGGATGTTCAGTCTGTTTAAAATTGGTTAACTTGGAGCTTGTTAGCTATTTGAAATAATATATTGTGTCTATATACAATGCTCAATGTAAGAACCCCTAGACAGAGTTATGAACTTTCCTGTCTCAGAGCGTTGGTCTTATTTGCTGTTTTCTATTTCTGTATTTCTAACTCCGTAGTAACATATGTATTTTATGAGTGCAAAGTAACTTTTTATTTCAGGTGCGTAGTTAAACTGAAACTATAATGAGTACTCCCCAATTACACCTGCAAGCTAGCTGTAAGATAAGATATGTTGAGATAAGATTGATGAATGATGTTATTATTGGATAATGTTTATAAGACCACCCCTGTTTCCTCTCGAATATAACCTGTTACACAGCCTATTAAATGTTAGGAGTACCGGGCTTAGCACTGTATAATAACCAAGTAATTGATGCCCTAGCCTGTTCCCTTGCCAAAAAGGTTTCAATGAGACATCCCAGGCCCTGGAGGAACTTCTAATGGATACCCAGCTTAACAAGAAAGCGATCCTTGAAAATAGGGCAGCTATTGACTATTTGTTAATTAAACATGAATTAGGGTGTGAGGCAGTAAAGGGCATGTGTTGCTTTAATCTTTAGGATCAATGGACAATGATCCATGAGCATATCCAGATTCTTCACGATCTAGTGATGGGAATAAAACAAGATACAGGGTTCTTTGGGGATTGGACCTTTGGTCTTGGTAGATGGCTCAGTATGTTAAGAAAATATTGTATTTCTTACTTATCACAGTATTTATAATAATGATGTTTTTTCTGACATTTAAGTTCTTCTCATGTCTTCTGTTATCCTTGTGTAAATCAAAACCTTGTGTTGGTCGTACTTTAACTTATATGCCAGCTTCCTCAAACTCTGACAGCTACAGAACTGTATAACTGATGAAGGACCATTCCTCCTGTGACCCCTGGTTTGCCCTGTCTAAGGGAATCGTGGCGAAGGCATTAATAAAAGACCCACAGGTTTTGACTGGCATACCTGGAAATACCTCAGACACCTGGGTGAGCCGTGGGGTCAAAAAGAGGGAAATTGTAATGGAATTATTGATGGAGGATACCTTGACCCCAGGCTCAAGCTTTTAAGATGACCAGATGCCCAGTCTTTACTTCCTATGTTCTGCTTTTAATCTTTAGTCTAGTTTTGAGTGTCTGACAAATAAGCACAAATAAGCATAAAATCATGACTTGTGACATTTTGTGGTTTCTGAGGAGAGGATTGCAGCTTCCCCCATTAACCCCTCTCTGATGTCCTAATGTTTTTATATATGTAACCACTGAAATATGCTTAGTACTGTAATTTCCCTTTTATGGTAGTGTGACTTCACCCATCCGGTTTTTGGCACGCTAATCACAAAGCTGTCTTTACAAAGTACTATATAATCTGTAAGTTTACACAATAAAATAAGGAAGTAATCTTTGAATCAAAAACTGTCTAGTCTGATTACTTTCTCCAAGCAGCTCGTAATTTAGTGTCAGTTTGGTTTCCCCCTGAACATATCTCCGGGTAAATTAATATCCTTAACACGGTCGGTCAAAAGAGACTTCCATAAACACTTAAACCCCATGGCGATTCGATTATGTTTGTGGGATCTGAGCGCTATTCGGATATATTGAGCGCTCAGATCCAAGCCAAATGTGGTGGTTCAGTTCTGTGGAATATAAGTTATGTATTTTAAGGTGTTTTGTTGCAGTTGTAACTTAGAGATATTTTTTGTACCTGGAGATAATTAAGT